CAAGCCTTTCTGGTTTGTGCTTCTTAATTCATATCTACTTTAAATAAAAATTGCCACTTCCTGGTGCAGGCAAAGGTTTCCACTGACAGGAGAACTAGTGTCCACACTTTTGGAATGCTGCTGTGACCAATAGGTTGAAAGGCACACTGGCCCTATTGACCTTCTAACAGGGTCAAGTGGGCATTGAGTTAAGACCTGCAGCAATGCCCAGAGATTGATGCTGAATTACCATCCGGGCACAGATGGTACAGGTGTGATAAATGATCAACATCAGACTGGTGCAGTCAGAAGGAGCACTTTTCAGGCCGGGGCTAGGGACCGCACTTGGGCACAATGCAGTCAATCATGACAGTGCAGTGCCCATACATTAACTGGCACCTCGCTACGAAATGTAGAACCTTGCGGAAAAGTGGGCATCCAAACTTTGGAAAGTTGTGAAACCCGACTCTGGGGCGGGTCGCATGGAGGGAACATGGAAGCATTGAGAAAGCTGTCAGGATGGGGGAGGAAGAAAGATGGCGAGTGAATATCATTAAGAAAAGGTCACATTCAGTAATGCAAAAGTTTGCAGAAGTAGGTGACTGATGGACGACCAGGCTCTGTGGACCAAGAGCAAGAAAGAGAATTATGATGTCGGATCATTTGCAATTAAAGTTTGCAATTGCAAGCTCCTCTGAGTAACTGAAGAGGACAGTGCAAGATCCAGAAGGTTAGAGTCGTGAGCGCACAGACCTGGTCACCACCATGAGGATCCAAAAATGGGAAGAGGAAAAAATGGTATTTTCTGAAAGCTGACACTGCACTTTGTTTAGAACAAAAGAAAGCATGCAAGGAAGTGAAGAGAATTGTAGGTGGGATAGCTAACAGGGAGGGTCTTTGACTTCCATGGACCTACATGTTGCCACCTCAGAACAGAACCTCACATCCACAGATGAAATAAACACCTACAGGTCTCCTCTAGACAGTCATTTCAAAACGCCATTAACAAGAAAGGTGGGCAAATGAGAGATAAAGGTCACATCTCACAGAATGCAGGTACATATATGGGCCTGATAATATACAGTATTGCAGAATGACTGAACGCTTTAAATCATAGACTGGGAAAATGGGGCATTTACTGAGGTCCTGTTTGACAAGGTCAGCTGGCCTCATCTGCTAGTTACCAGGCAATGCATAACTGTGCAAACTGGAGACATAATATTGTGTTACATTACACATCAATACAAATGAATATGTCATGGGGTTGTCTCAGATCAGACTGTTAAATAAAAGAACCGACTAATTAGTCGTTCCTGGATGTCTGCGCACGGCGTCCTCAAAACAAAACAAAACCCTTCATTAGAAAATGGAACTTTCACATGAAGAGATTCTCGGTGTGTGACTGCCTGGCCCTGAGGCTCCATTGTTTAAATGGCAGCAAACGCTGAATAGTCAGCATTACATCATTAACTACTGCCCATCAATACCAGAGCAGCGTAATTTGATTGGGTGAGAGGAACGAGCAGGGTTTAGGATGAGCTGACGTTCCTAGACGACAGAAAGCCAGCCAGTGGAATATCGGAATAGTCAATCCAAGGGAATACCAGGCTAGGAATTCAGCCACTGCTTTTGGTGTGTCAGGGAGGCAGAGATGAGCAACGTTAGGAGGGCAGAAGGGGACAGTAACGCTGATGAGGAGGATTCGTCAATATCATTTTACTAAAATGTTGCTGGCAAGGTCAACATTTATTGTCCATCCCCAACTGCCTCTCAGTGAGCTTTTAGGGGGCAGATAAGAGTCAACCACATTCCTGTGGGTCTGGACTCACATTCAAGTGAAGGAGGAGCATAGATAAGGGGAATAGCAAAGGTCTTTTCCCAATGGTGGGGGGTGTTCAAAACTAGGGGGCATATTTTTAAGATGAGAGGAGAAAGCTTTAAAAAGGACACGAGGGGCAACCTTTTTACACAGAGTTCATTTACACAGAGTCCACAGTTCGTCTGTGGAATGAACTTCCTGAGGAAGTGTTGGGTGTGGGTACAGTTACAACATTTAAAAGACATTTGGATAAGTTCATGAATAGGAAAGGTTTGGAGGGATATGGGCCAAGCACAGGTAGGTAGGACTAGTTTAGTTTGGGAACACGGTCAGCATAGACTGGTTGGACCAAAGGGTCTGTTTCCATGCTGTATTACTCTATGGCAGATTTCCTCCTCATGGACATGAGAATATAACCATCTGGTAGCTTCATGATCATCATTAAGGAGAAGATTACAGATTTATTAATCAGAATTAGGTTTCTGCAGGCGCCATGGATTTGAACCTGTGCGCCTGCAACCCTGCATTCTGAATCCAGTATTAACACCATCACATTACCATTTCTCGTAACTCAGGTTCAAATAGGAGGCTAAGACTCCTGGATCGAAGGCAATTACTATCCATCCTTAGTTGCCCTGTGCGTAATGTGCATTCAGAGTTAGGAGAGAATTGAATAAAGTTCGGGCTCCTTTCCCTGAACAATATGAACGAGCCAGTTTGGCAGGTAAGTGTGAAACACTGGGACTCCACAAAATGTGAATGGATGGGAAGGAGATCAGTCTGCACATGAGGAATAGTGTAATTTTGGTGACTGTGGAGAGAAGAGACCAATGCAACTTGACCCAGCTGATGGGATGCATTGCTGCAGCAGGGAACAGGAAGAGATCAACCCGGCAGAACTCCCCAAAACAGGCTTTCTCTTGCTGGGACTCTGTAGATTGGTACACATCTCTGGAACATACTTGACTTATTAATGGGGATGAGTCACTGTTGAACCTCAACTACTGAGACCGTTGCGCAGCTGAAGAGTAAAAGTAGGATCTGGCTCCACGTCAAGTCTCCACGCTTAATTTGAAGAGCTCAAGGGTTAGCCAAGTTAATGGATTTCCTACAAGGATGGATGGATGGACTGTTACCAGAGACACACGTGTGCATGTACATGTGTGTGTGAGAAAGTGCACAGCAATTTTGGTGTCGAATTCGGATGGAATTCACAGCTGAATTACTCTTAACAATCCATGACAGCAAGCGATTGGGTTCACAAAACAGTACATGACTCACACAGTCAACACTAGATCAGCTCATGCTTCGGTCAGACCTTGAGAACTGTTAAGAGTTCCCACATACACTGCATGGGTGGATTCCTCAATGGGGGGAAGTGTTACGGCATCAACATTTGGAGGAAGGGACAGGGGGAACAGCTCTGCTCTTTGTATTTTCTCAACTTCCGCAGCTCCTAATGCCGGGGGAATAAATACTTACCCACAGGAGGGCTGTCCTCCTCGGAGCAGAGCAGGCCAAGAAGGGAATTGATGGAAGGCGCTCAGTTGTGAGAAACCATTACAAATGTCACTAACCAGGATATGACAATGAAAGGCAATTGGCTAAAGTAACAGAGGTGACGCGAGGAAAACAGTTTTTTTGAGTGGTTCAGATTGTTTTATTCTTTCATGGGTTGTAGGTTTTGCTGATGTGACCCCCAATCAATTCCCACCCTCAACTGCCCATTGATAAGGTATTGGTGAGAAATTTGGAACGCACTGTCTGATTGGCTGACAGACTCGATGGGAATTTTCAAAAGGGAATTCGATAGATTCACAAAACAGCGCTGGGATGTGGGAAGGGAGCAGGGACGAACTGGATTGCTCAGTGAAAGAGCCAGTACAGACTAGAGGTACTGAACAGCCTCCTTCTATGTAGCGCTATCCTCTCATTGCCCAAGTGCAACTTGAACAAATCTTCTTTCAAATGGCACGTTTTGATGCGTACTTTCCCTATCCCTCATTAAGATTTTCTGTACACCAGCCTAGCAGATAGAGAGGCAGGGGACTGGGCTTCTGAACCAGAGCTAGGAGCCGACTGTTTGGCGTAGGAGCCGATGTAGGCAGGTCAGGGTTTCCATTAAGGGTTGTCTTTTATTGACATTAAAGCTGTGATCAAAGAGCCTCTGGAGAAACTACAAGACTGGACCCTTCATCCTGTTGAACCTCATAGAATTCTTAAAGGGCTCAACAGATTGGATATAGAAAGGATGACTCCCATGCTTGGGATGGTAGAACCAGGGGCTAATGCCTTGGAATAAGAGGCAGGTCATTTAAGAACGACGTGAGAAAGAATTTCTTCATTCAGTGGGTAGGAAGGCTGTGGAAACTCAGCTATTCGGTCAGTCGGGAGAGGTTGATACCTTTCTAGATATGAAGATGCGAAATGGTGGCGAAGCCATATATGATACTTGCCTTTATTAACCAAGGCAAAAAGATTAAGAGCAGGGAGGATATGCGGCAGTTGCATCAGACATTGGTAGGGCCACAGTGAGAGTATTGTGTGCAGTTCTGGAATCGACATTATAGGAGGGACAATGATAGCACTGGAAAGGGTGCAGGGACATTGACCAGGATGTTGCTTTGGGGCTGGAGAGTTTCAGTGATGGAGCTATTTTCCTTAGAGCAGAGGAGACTTGGGGACAGAGGACGGAGTTGTAGAAAGATATGAGGGGCATGGATGGGAAGGAATATTTTTCCACTTGGGGAGGGACTGGGCTGGGTTGGGGGCAATGATTTAATGAAGGTGCAGAAGGTTTAGAGGGGATGTGAGGAAAAGCTTTTAACTCAGAGGGTGATGAGAATCTGGAACTCGCTGTCTGTAAGGGTGGTAGAGGCAGAAGTATTTAAATGCGCACTTGTAATACCAAGACACACAAGGCTTTGGGCCAGGTGCTGAGAAATGAGATTAGAACCGTTAGGAAGTTGCTTTTGACCAGCATAGTTTCAATGAGCCAAAGGGCCTATCTCTGTGCTGTAGAGTTCTCTGACTCTGTGAGGGGATATGGAGACAGTTGAGGTAGTTGATAGCCATGACCCAGCTCGAGGAGCTGAACAGCCGACTACACCCAGGAAACTGCAATGATCTCAGTTCCTGAGGAGACTTTGAGGATTCCCTGCCAATAGTAACGGATTAGGCTGCACGCAATTACAAGGTCTACCTGCTGTCCTGGAGGGCCAACATGTCCCCTTGGGCCTGGTAAGCCTCGTGGCCCCTGAGAAAGAAGACAAACACATCATTAATGTCTCCCTCGCCCAAGTACAACACAGCAAGGCAACCTCAAAGAGCTTCACTTACCGGTTCACCAGGTAGTCCCCTTGGTCCGACTGCTCCATCGCTACCCTGAAAAATCGAGAAGGAAAGGGAGGCGATCAGAACAAATCCAGGTTGAACACAATCTGCCACTTCATAAGCTGCCGCTTTGTCAATTCCTCAGCATGGATCTGTTTATATTTACTAAACTGGAGTGGATCTTTGAAGAATCCTTGCCAGGAGAGTAAGTCCCAACACAGAGCAGGGGAAGACATAGTGCATGACCTTCCTCAAGTTACAGGACTGTCCGACTACAAGCGTTCTTGTTAAAGGGGCCCTCAGAGAGGATAATTGTTCAGACAGCTGGCAGAATGGAAATCACCTCCTCATGGCGATCTGAGTCTGATTAAAGGAAAGCAGCAACTGAAAGACTGGGGAACACAGAACGTTAGACCAAATTACATATTGTGCACATTCACTGATGAACACAGCAACAGGAGTATGCCATTTGGCCCTTTGGGCCTGTTCCGTCATTCAGCTGGGACACGGTTGCACAGACTATGAGAGTGCTTGAAGCTTTGTGCATCACCTACCCGTACTCCATTCTCCCCAGATGGACCGAGTGGACCCTTCGGACCAAAGTTACCCTGGAAAAAAGACTGGGTGTTAATACAGAAACACAACACAGTGCCTACTGTCTATCCTACCTGGGTGTTCCTGACTCACCAGAATCACACTCACACTGGGCACCAACTCAATCCGAGAAATGAATTAAAATTTGCTCTTGCACTGTCAGAGCCGAAACAGTCCACTGTGCAATTCAATTATTTACAAACTTATAAATGATGTAGGCCGCTTGGCTTCCCAACCCTGATCCAGCATGCAATAAGATCTGATATTAACCTCGACTCTACATTCCTGCTTATCCCTCCCTCGCCCCAATAATCTTTCATCCCCTTTGTCAACAAGAATCTATCCAACTCTGCCTTAAAAAGTTTTAAAGGTTTTGCGTTTTGAGGAAGGGAATTCCAGAGACTCTCAATCCTCAGAGAAAAAAGTTGTACCGATACCACGGTTACAACTCAATGTTGTTGAGGCCTCAAGGCTTCTGCTTACCTCGAGACCTGGATATTGGGGATATGGTCCTGCATTGTAGAGGCAGCTCTCTTACCCCTGCTCTAAGTCTGTTGCACCTCTGTCTCTGCTTTATCCAACAGAGGCTGGATCTGATTTGTCTGACTTGCAGAAGTTTCCATACCCTCTCTAATTAATACATTAAAGTATGAAATACTGATCGCTCTCGTACAGATCTTCCATCTTCTCCTCTCAGAATCTCGGGAACGTGTGACAATGGGTGTCAGAGTTTCATCACTATGTTTTATCAATATTGAATTTTCAGTATCCCCTGGACAAGGGTGGGCTAAAGCAGACAGCAAGAGACTCAGGAGGCCTTGATTACATCTGGAATGGGAGCCCAGCTGAGGAGGATGAACTAGGGATAGACTCTGCCGTGGTAGCATTCAAAGCCAGATCCCCAGAACGTCACCCAAGCCTCTGAATTACTAACCCAGCGACAACGCCATCCCTTTTGAAAACCGATCCTGCATCTGCCTGCACCACCCGATCAGACAATACTTTCTCAAGGGGCAATTAGGGATGGGCATTGAATGGGTTTCCGATCAGCCACACCTACAGCCCATCACCAGGCAAGCCATCAAGGCGTTTCCATGCCATATGACTCAATGACTTTGTGTTGAACAATCTAATCTCCCTTACAATAACACTGGTAGCACAGCAACCCTTCTATTAACCAGCACCTATGGGACCAGGAATATACCAGACGATCAAATATTCTGGTTGATCAAGAGGTCCACGTTATCAATGTAAAAACACACACTGAGTCATAGAAATGTAATGTAGGAGGAGACACATCATTGTTGCACTTGATTAACGGCATAAATCACTAACATAATAATGCAACTTTTGCCTGAAATAAAGCTTACCAACATCGAGCCTTCTCACTCGCAGCCTCAACTAACTACCCGCAGATTGCGATAATGTGTATCTGTGATAATAGAGTAAACTTTGTCGTATTTCAGGCGTATAATTTTTTCTGGTCTATCTGGAGTGCTGGTTCATAAGGTAACAAGGTGTAGAGCTGGATGAACACAGCAGGCCAGATATAATCACTGGCGCTGGAAGGCGGACTTCCGAGCTCTAGACCCTTCTTTCGGGTCCAG